GTGCTGCAGGGCGGGAGTCTTGGGGCGCCGCGCCCTTGGCGCAGCCGGGCAAGTAGGCGGCTGATTGCATGCATGGGCGTCTACGGGCCCCCGCCGGCAGCTGCGATCGGCGGCAGAGCGCGATGCCGGGGCGCAATCCCGGGCCGACGGCGCGGTCCCAGAAAAGCGGCTCCTGCTCCCGAGAGGCCCGAATCGATCGGCAAAAACTAGTCTGGCATCAATGGGCTGTGACGCGGCCGTGAGGGGCACAGATGCGGGGCGCCTTGCCCCGAAAGGCCCTTTCGGCCCGGCGCACCGTCCTGGACCCCCAGGGGCCCCCGCGGCCCCTGTATCGGCTAAGTACCTTGTGCTCTCACCTCTCAGGTCTGGATACGCGGTGGGGAGACGACTCAAGCCAAGCTTGCTGAGGTGTGCCGGTGTGCTTTGGGAGCACGAGGCTTGACGACAATGTGATGAAGGTAACAAGTCGATAGCCGTGAAAGTGGGCGATGTGCGAGACCGTGATCCCCGATATACGGAAGGAAGGGTGAGCGCGGTCAATCCGCTGCTGCTGCCCGAGAAAGCGGGCCTTGCCTGCCGTGGTCGATCTATATCAACTAGCTTTTCCGCGCGGGCAGAGGCGCGGGACCACCACCACGGCGCACAGCCGTCCTTCCTGGGTCCGTTGCGACACGGAGCCCGGGTGCCGTCGTCGGCCCGCGCGACATAACGGGTGAACGCTGATGCCACAGCGGCGCTGCCCCTCTCAATAAGTGGGTGTCCACTGCATGCTGCTACATATGGGATTCGCGGGCAGCACACGTCGTCCCAGCACCTTGAGCCCAAACGTCACATGGGCGCCGCATCCGCCGTTGCAAACCCATAACCGTTACCAATGTGTACACAAACGTCACATGGGCGCCGCATCCGCCGTTGCAAACCCATTACCGTTACCAATCTGTACACATACATACAAAAGCATGGACATCGGGCTGGGCAAGCTGTATATGCAGGGTGTACGGTAGACTGTGCAGAGGTGGCGGTATAGTGGCTCATCGGCAGACGTCCGGCGTTGATGTGCAAACTGTGGGAAGCAGGGCCGTGCTTCCCTGCAGCGGCGACTTTCTGTGCAGATCTATTCACTGGTCAGCGACAGGGGGCGTCAACAGGACGCAAGGGCGCAGGCGGCCAAACACGGGCGAGCGCCATAGAACAAAAACACATTTGCAAGGCCCGTCCGCACAAGCGTTTGAGCAGGGTCACAGCCATGGACAAGCAGAGGAGATGGAGTGGGCGACGGCGCTGCGCCGCTGTGCACCTGCCGCCTGTCCGAGTGTTCAGCAACACCAAAACAGAAGGGGCGGCGGCCCGAACGCGTGGTGGTTTGCGGCCTGTGTGCATGGCATGAGATGCCTGACTGGTGGCGGGCAAAGGCATGCACAAGTCTGGGATCTGCCAAAGACGGCGTCGGGCTGCTCCAACAGGTTTGCTCGTTCAGGGCAGGCCCCATCTGTCGCAGGGCCGAAAGGAGAGGTTTGCTGCATGTTGTTCAACCAAACTCTAGCCAGCCACCCAACACAAGCGTCCCAGACAGGCGGGGCCAGCGCCACAGGGCTGCTGGCCGGTAGCATCCGCGCGGTGGGGCCTGCTCACGGTGACGCGGTGGACTGAAAAGGTCCTTCTCTAAGCGGCAGGGTCGGATACGCGCGTTTGCACTTGCGAATGCACATGCACCAGCATGTTGCTCCAGGGAGAGCTGCTTATGACGCACGCCAGCGACAGCCCCCTCAAACCACGCGGGCCGCGCTTGGTCAGCGATGGGGTGGCGCGCACAGCGAGCGGCCGCGCGGCGGCGGCGGCTGCGGCGGCGGTAGAAAGCACGGATGGCTGGCGCGTGCGGGGCGGGAGCCCCGACCGGGTAATTGCACATAGCCTGAGCTCCAGACCAGCTCAAAGCTCGGCCGAGTGCAAGCCGCCCGTGGCGCCGGCCGGTAGTGCGGTGCAGTGGCTGCGACATGACGAGCTAGCGCTGCTCTGTACGCGCGCTCACTTGCGCGCGTGCTGCACGTGGCGCGGCGCTTGCAGGTTGTGCGCGTTCGATTGGCAAGATGTGCTCTCGCGCAGTCGTGGATGCGAGGAACTGTGCTGCTAAAATGTGAAGACATCAACAATGGTCGCGGCCGCTTATGAGGCAGCCGTGTTTGCGGCGGGGAAGCACCAAAGATGTGTGCACGGCCACAGGGCCTGCCCAGCAGGGTGTGTCAGGAGGGGCACAGGCCTTCGGCAGGTGCGGCTGCGTGCTGGCGGCTCACAAGAGCCGCGCCGCTGCCCGCGGCGCGCCGTTACCCTGTTTCTGCAATGAGAGCAAGCCTTGCCGCCTGCAAGCGGCGGTGCACGGTGAGCCCGCCCGTGCCAACAAGATATTAGCAAGGCTGCAGCCCGGGTGCAGTGCATCTTGCATGGCCGCGGCGCTGGCCGCTTGGCTGTATGTGCACATGCATGCGCACCAGCTGGGGAAGCACCGAAGGGCGCCCTGCATGGCAACAGCGCTGCGGCGCTGCTGGGCGGCATTGCACAGCCTCCCAAGAGCGCTCTGCTTGTATGGTCGGGCGCCGATCTATGTCTACGGCCTAGGCGCGGATGCGGGCGCGGCGGCGGCGGAGATGGCAAAGGCGCTGCGGCCTCCAAACGCCGGCGGCGCCTGCAACGCTGGGCCGGTCGCCGCTGCAAGCTGCACCGCGCCACGCCCCACGTCGCCGCGGCGGCCCCCTGCGGCCGCCGCCACGGGCGTGGGCGCGGGGGCGGCTGCGGCAGCGGCGCGTGCAGCGGCGGCGCCCCGGAGCCGGCGCGGGGGCATGGACAGGGAGATGGCGACTTTCCGGCCGAACGACTTGAGCCGCAGCTTGAGTTTGGAGCCTAGTGTGCCCTCTGCCTCGCGCCCGGCTGCCAGCGCTTCCAGTGCGTGCGGCGTCAGGCGCTCGTGCTTGATGAGGGCCCGCGCGGCCGCCGCCGCCGCCGCCGCCGCGCCCAGAGGTGTGGTGGCGCTGCGGCTGTGGGTCGAGCGGCACGCGCGAGCGGCGGCGCGAGAAAAGGGCGCTGAGCTGCCGCTGCTTGAGGAAAAGGGGGAGCCGGCGCCGCTGCCGCGAGCGAAAACCGACCAAAAGCCGGCCAGGCCGCCGCTGCCCGCCGAGCCAAGCCGCAGCGGCGGCGGCGATTGCGAGGCAGGGGACGCGGCGGCGGCGGCGGCGGCGCGGTGGGCACCGGGCAGCTGCTGCGAGGGCGCCGCGAAAGGCGACGACCCGCGGGCGCAGCCGCTTTCGCTTGTGGCGCTGCTGCTGGTTTGACCGCCGCCGTCGCTCCTGCTGCTGGTGGTGCTACTGCTGCTGCTGCTACTGCTACTGCTACTGCTGTCAGAGCGACCTCCACCCCACCGCTGCTGCTCCTGCTGCCGCTGCTGGCAGCGGTGATGCGGTCCAAGCTCCCGGCTGCGCGGCTCAGTGAGAATGGCCCGCTGGGGGTCCGCCGCCCGGGCCGACGCCACGCCCGCCAGCGCCCGGCGGCCCGCACCCCTGGCCTCTCCACTACCGCCGCCGGCCTTCGTCTCCCCCGCGGCCGACGGCTCGCCTTGCTGGCCGCGCTTCCCCTTCTGCTGCCTGTCGGCCGCCGCGACGCTGGCGCAGTGCACGGCGGCGTCGAAGGCGCCGACGCCCTCAAGCTTGAGGTGCTGCCCGCTCATGGGCTCCTTGCAGCCAAACGTTAGGGATATGTCCACGTCCTCGGGCAGCCTGGTATTGTATGCATGATCCAAAAACACATGGTACATCAGGCAGTGGCAAGGGATTGTGGCGGTCACAGCTCCCGCCGAGCACGCGTGGGCAGCCACATGTGCACTTGCCCAGCGCAGCCACGGCAGCCGCGGCGCGCGCGCACGCAGATGGCGGGCGGGCCCGCTCGCGCCCGCCGCCCCAGCCCGGCCAGCCACCTGAACAGCTCGCGGATCTGCGTCTGGAATTCCTGCAGGCCGTCGGGCCCCTGCTTCACTGGGATGCGGTGGATTTGGCCCTCAAAGTAGACCACCATGATGGGCTGCACCTTTGACACCTCGGGGGCCAGATCTTTGGGGGTCAGGTTGGACTTCCAGTCATCCAGAGTGTTGTTGCAGAACCTGAGAGATTGGGGAGGGCGGGGGCGGGGGCAAGGGGGCCGTGAAGGGTGTGTGTG